AACGTAGATATAAGTATGAACCATTTAAGTACCTGCAGGATATCTATAATTTAAATCCAATATCCGACTCTTTAAATTCTATCAAAGCTACTCTCTATAGAATGCGAGCTCACTCTATGTCGTATTTGAACTGACTAAAATATGCTGCTAACTAAAATTGGTTGCCAAGCCTGTGCATGTTTGCAACGGTTTGCGGCCCGGTTGGGAGTGTGCCTCTCTGCTGCATATTATGTACATGTTTTTTTTTTTTTTTTCTTTTTCTCTTCTTTACTTACGCATGAATTATGTTTTATCTTCCTTCTTAATACATTTTATTAGAGTTTATCGTAAGTGAATGAAATTTATTTTTAAAAATCGATCTAATTCAGCTGTAAGTCCATGGTAGCTGAATTTCATTCATGGTCAACGAGTAAATAAATAAGTCGTCAAATTTTGTAAAATTGTCTTCATGTGACTTGCGAAGTATGTGATTACATCTCCATATCTTAGTTAGTCAGACACACCTAGAGAGATCTATATGCAAAAACAGAGTTTGACGCAAATCAAGGATAGTTTAAAAAAGTGATCACTAGTTATTACTAATTGTTACGAAAGAGAGGAGAGTGAGGAGAGTAAGTTTTCTTCTTTGCAAAAAATATTTTTATATTTTTGAATTAAATATTTAAAAATATATTTTATTTTAATATGACATCTTTATTTCGCAATCATATAACATAAGGCTAACTAAAATATATATACTTCGATAACTGAATATATTTGAGAAATTTATATAAATATCCAGGATCTAAAATTAATGTCATACAACTGTTAAAGTCCATGATTGCACTTAACAGATCCGCTGTGCCATCTACCGAAGAATCCATGATTTAAAGAAGAAGAAATTTAAACTTATATTTAACGTTGCAATAAAAATTTCCAAAATTAATTTTTTTCGTTTACTAAATTTACTCAGTTTATGCAATTTGAGAAAACCATATTTTAATTTTTTATAAAATTATTATTATTATTTTTTTTTTTTTTTTTTTTCGCGATTAAATTAATTATTTCAATTTGATTTTTGATTTTATGGAATATACTTCCCAACGGAATCCGTTGGCAAGCGACCCTTTCTTGAATTAAAAACCGCTCATGCGAGAGATGGTACGATCAATGTATTGTTTTTATTTATCGTTGTAAATGTAATTAAAATTGACAGATTTCGCGGAGTGCTCGCGTTTGACTTTTCTGCTTTTTTTCTTTTATTGAATTCTAATTCAAAGTTTTTCTGGATTTATATTTATAAAGTTTATAGTAAATAACTTTCTTTTAATAAAATTATAATTTTTTCTTTTAATTGATTTTTATTTACTCCTTTCTTTTTATAATCTTTTGTTTTACATTTTTTATTAAAAAATTTTATATCAGTATTTTATTTTATTTTTTTAAAAATTATTTTGGTTTTCCAGTCCAATCAACATTCTATTTATTTACTTTTTTTTATTTTTTTTTTTTTTTGTTAGTTTCTGTAATGAATTCCTTTAGTTATTGCTCAACATTTTCCAGCTCCGTGCAATCTCAGCAAAGCAACAGTTTTTGCTGTCGATAGCTTGATGTTTTTGTTTTAACTGATTTCAACCGCTTCGTGTGTACGGAACTAAATTGTGTTAAATAGCAATATTTGAGTTATTATTGTTATTTTATTTTTTTTATTTTTTAATTTACTATGCTGTTGTTATTATTGTTGTTGTTGTTGCTCGTCGTACAATTCTACTTCCATATAAATGCTGGTGTAATATGAAAGAGTATGAAATTCGCATACTCTCGTCTAAAATTCATACCATTTGCACGCTCTTTTTGTGTGAGAAACATGCAAACAAAATCTCTGCTCCGCTTCATATTGATTAATCTGCTCTTTGTCTCTCTTTCAAAATGATCTAATGACTGAAGCAATTTCATTAAAAGGTAAAATGTTGTTATTGTTGCTTTAAAATTCCACTTCTATGTTACCTCACTATGTTTGTAGTGATTGTGAAAGTTGTGTGCTTCACATCCATTGTCATAGCTTAAGGTTATTGTATGTTAATTTCATTATTTCGTTTGCGACCTACAAAGTCAAATAAATACATTCTGGACAAATATTTAGATTCTATGTCATTATCTGTAATCGCAATTGTTCAACTCTTTCAAAAATTTCGAGCTTAAAATAGCTAAGAATCAAATTTGAAAACTTAATGCATCAAAGTTCAGATCGGGATTCTGAAATCTGGGAAACATTTTTTCTACCATTACGACTATTCGATAGGTATGAATATTACAATTATCATTAAATAGGAACTGCCTCGTTGTAGAACAATACGTACAGGTGCAATCGATGTTAAAATGGTCTTTTTGTTAGCCCAACCTAACCTAACTTAGTACGGTCTGAGAGATCGTAATCTTTGTCCATCACTTGCGACCTACCTACATAGTGATAGTGACTATATAGCAGATTTAATTATTCCAAATTCAAAAACAAGGCAATCTTAATAATATTTAGTTCTTATGTTGTCTGTTCAAAATACGTCTCGAACCGTATATAAAATTTCATTTACCATTCTTTCGTTTCTTCCGCACATCGCCTCGTTTGTTTCTCGTCTTCGCTCTCTTGTGAAAGCAGAAGGTGTTTGACGAAATCTCCTTGCATTTTTTTAATGTAAACATTGTATGAAAATTGTGTACGATCGAAGACGAATCGCCAACACCCGCCACCTAAGGCAATCTATTTGTCTTAGGCAACGGTTAACTTTTAAAACTAAGAAAAAACCTCAACTACTTGTATATGGCTATTATTATATCTGTTAACATGCAATTACTTACGATATAAAGTTTATGAACGCGCAAAAATGCTTTGATTCTCACAGCTCTCTGCTAATTTGCATTCCCATTCAAATGGAAATTCTTAATCGGCGAGTTGTAAAAGAAATTGCAATTTATAGAAAGCAGTTACCTAAAAAAGGGGTCGACTCTTTAACAAACACTGTAAACGATTATCTCAAGTTATGTTGTTTTCTGCAACAAAATTGCCCCCAAGCATAAAAGCCATCATGGTTGCTACTGCGTGAGTTAGTAAAATATTGAATAAAATCAATGACTTCCTCCTTTCGCAACAGTTTGGATTCTGTAAAGGAACGCAACACTATATAACAACTTTTCAAAATTCGTCATTTTGTTAAATCAAATTTTTATTCTCGAATTTTTATTACTCGACATCAAGGCTACCTTCGATGCAGTTTGGCACAATGGACTTGCTTTTTGAAAATGCGTTGTAAACATTTTTCTCACAAAATTGTTAACTTTATACAAAGCTTTCTGAAAGACATGCACTTTGACGTCTAGCTGGGATCTTCCAGTTCTTTTCATTCTTCATTCGATATATGGCAATGAATGGAAGAAACATCGATTCATCACTATACTCGAGAGTCAAATGGGTAGTTAACCGAATGGACAGCAATCGGTAATGCCACAAAAACTTGTAACACTGCAGCTTTGAAGCTAATGAAAGTTTGAGTTAGTGCCGTTAATATGTCAGACCGGAGACTTATTGAGTGACGTCTTATATTAAATTAATAAACTTTATTAATATATTTTCTTCAATGGTTTATAATATGTAATCATAAGAAATAAGATTTTTAAACCAGATAAATAACTACCAGTACTTTCGATTGCTTCACTGGCACGTATTCCATAACAAAAAGAGAAAAAAAAAAAAAAAAACCCAAGATCATAAATTTATATTAGAGAGTGAATATATATCGTATCGACCCAACGGAACTAAGCTTTTGTTTAGGTGTCATTAACAACCTATGAAAAAAGTAATATTTCGCTTCATATCATTTCCATATTAATTAATTACATGACTTATATAATATATAATATTGTTATATGCAAATATGATTTTCATTTGCATTTCATTTATGGTAAAACGAATGTTAGCGGTTTTTTTTTTTTTTTTTTTTTTGCATTTCGTACTCAACAGGAGAACGAAGTTATGCCAATTTGTGCTTGCGTCATGTGCTGTGGCCTCGTCTAGCTGTCCGTGCTTGATTGCTCGCTGAAATGCTTTAAATCTCAACAAGTTTAAACGTCAACTAAAAACTTAACCCACACAAACGCACATATTCTTGAGCAAATTTCACAAATCAGATTAACAATGGGTGACAGACGTCTCCTTCTAAAAGTATCACTCCTCCATAATATTAGGTCGGCACGAAAATGTTTCCCGTTTTTCCATAGAATACATGCAGAAATTTTTTTGACTTAAAAGTGTCCATCTTTTCGATTTCTATAGCTAATAATTGCCACAAGCATTATTGCTTTAGAGGACACTGTTTTTTCCATTGTTCATTCTATTTATATGTAAAACACAGCCGGCTTTTAATAAAAATTTCATCTACTAAACTGACTGCAAATTTGTTTAATCTTTTCGTTTCGAAAGTTTTACCATATATTGCTCTGCTTAGTGCCTACTTTGATCGATTGCTGTCATATCCTAGACAATGACCATTTTGAAGTGAATCAATGATCGCCTTTAACAGATTCTTTACGACTGCTACTACACAGTTGGGCAGACGGATAGACGCATGCTGCATCGATGGGTATGAAAGCTATCAACAGAGGATATGCCCTCGTTCACCTTCGTGCATGACTCAGACGTACTGTCATGAGAGCTATCATCTTAACCGAGATAATGAATGTAGTCTCATCTATCTCTTCCTGCGTTTATCGGCCTGTTGTTGCGATTGTCTCAAAACAATATGTTCTTGATTCAATTTGACAAAAAAATATTTGAAAATCATAAAAAGGACTTGCTCCATCTGTCTTTAACGGAAAATTGACCAGAAAATGAGTTTTTTTTTATTGTTAATGGCTTTTATTTCATTAAGCTTTACGCGGCTAATGACTATTAAACTTTTAATACTTATTGCTGATACGTAAAAAATAAATAACAACTAAGTCTTACAAAAAAAAAAAAAAAAAAAAGACAAAAAAACTATTTGCATAAGAAACAAAAAATTAAAACAAATTAATTAACTAATATTTTTGGCACAACAGAAAGTGATTTCTATGATAATTATTGATTAAAATATCAAAACACTTAAGCTTCTTACATGTACTTAATGATTACATAATAGATAATTTTATATAATAGAGGAAAAGGAAGAAAGCATAATACTTTTTTAATGATACTTTGTGACTTAAAGACGGGTTATTTCAACTTTTCCACCTGTCAGCTGCAACAAACGCAAACGTTCCTTGCCGGGAAACAGGCTACGGTTGGGTATATTGAAAGCCTGCTTTAGCACGCGAATTGTGAAGTCGGGCAGCAAACAAACAATCGTGATAAGTAAGCAAAAAAGCCAGATCGGTAACGAGCTGAGTAATTTGTTATAGGACCAATATATATCTGTATCGTAGCGTCTGAAAGTTCGTATTAGAAAGTTAAGGATAAAATTGTGATTTAAAAAGAAAATCTATTTTTTTTTTTTTTATTATTTTCTTGACTTTACTTACATATCAATAATGTTATAGACAAGTGTTGTCATCATGAAAGAGATTATCGAACCAATTATTGTGAATATGTACCAATAAGTGAGGTATTTGGATTCTAGCCATAGCTTTAAATTGCTGACAATAACCACCAATTGCATTAGCAGGGTGCCAAAGCAAGAGAATTCAACCGTTTGACCGACATTCAGGAGAATATCATTGGCGGAGAAGACGTTGACAGTAAAATAAAAGCATATCAGTGCGTGGTAAACGGCATGCAATATCCATCGGATAAAATAGGGCCAACGTAAATTCTTATTATCAACATTCTTCCGATACAACTCGGGTTGACTGTGTGCAAAAAAAGAGAATAATTTTTTTTGATTGATTTTTGTTATTCTGTCCGTAATATTTATAAAAGGCTATTTTTTTTTTTTATTATTTTTATGAATTAATAGCAACATCGAAAACGAAACGATTATCTCTCCTAATAACCTGATCTTTGATTTCAATTAATATCAAACACGTCTATATATTAGATTCTTACCTCATTAACGTCTGCTCCGTGTGGGATTTTTCAGTTAGCGATATAAAGAATATTGGCAGCGACGTATACATCACATTGTACAGCGTTAAAAATAACGAATCGTAGACCGATACGGATGAGAATAATGTATGAAATTGAAACAGGAACATAATACCCATAAAGAAAATGTTTTTATAAAAAAAGTACAGAACCAAAAGTGTTAAGCGCGTAGTATGATAATGACCATGAACCAAGACCAATCGTTTTAACATGCAAAATTTTGCTAAAGCGAAATCCGAACAACAGGCTGCTTGACGACCCTCTTTACCAATAATTCCAATACCGACATGAGCTTCTTGGATCATAGATACATCGTTGGCGCCATCACCGATAGCAGCGGTATTATAATTTCGCGGCGATGTTTTAATCAGCGAGACAACTTCACTTTTTTGCAAAGGACTTAATCGGCAGCAGAGAACTGCCGTACATTTAATAGCTACATCGCGAAATTCAATAGGTGTATCATTTAAAGCTGTTGTTAAACTTTTGCCATCAATGAGCAAAACACATTCACGGCCCATACCGAAAATAATTTCACGATCTAAAATATTTAAATGCAATAGCATGTCATCTTTACGCCTGCATTCGACTATAAAATATTTTAGAGCATCGGACGGGACATGACCGCAGGCTAATGCTATATTTAAAGCTGTCTCCACTTTATCGCCTGTAAGAACCCAAATTTTAATGCCAGCCTTTTGTAGAGAAATCAAAGTATCGGCCACATCGTCCTGCAAGGCATCTTCTACGGCCGTAGCACCCAATAACTCGAGATCTAAAATACAATAGAAAGAGGGATTAAATCGTTTTTGTTGTGCAAGGTCGACTATTAAATACCCTTCAATACTTTGATTAATATAATTCTGAACTTCTGAGCTTTCAAAATAAAATACCAAAAAATTTGATCAGAGAAGGAATCCGAAAAATAGATCCATCTAATCCAAACGTTCTATAGTACATTTATATGCCAAATCGCTTTTCTACGCTAATTTTTTTCACAAACTACTTAAAGTTCGATCTTATTGCTTTGCAAAGGCGAATTTCTTGTAAGAGTTTTTATATGAGAGGGATTTCAAAAAAATGGTCTCACTTCATCTAAATTTTCCGAATTCATTTAATACATCAAAATGCCCATATTCAGTGTTAGGGGAGTTGCACACATACGGACAAAGCTGACAAGTGATGAAGTGTATAAGGCTTATACTATAACTACTGTAAGTGGCAGGGAGTATATCTACGCTAGTCTTACTTACTATTTTCGATATTGGCATAACACTTTTCACTTAATTCTTTTCTGCCCTCCAAGGAATTATTGGCTTCGTTTAGCTTTTGCAGAAATTGTCGATATTCGCTTTCGGTAAGTTTTTTACGTGCGACCGCTAAAGTACGCAAACCCAGACGAGAGAAATCACTTATATGGGCATCGGTTTTAGCAATCATGTCTTGAGAATTTCTATCGCACAGCGGAAACACGTAGCTTTCGGCACCTTTACAATAAATCCATTTATCACCTTTCTCGTCCTTGACTATAACACTCATACGCTTCCGATCGGAAGTAAATTCTAGTATATGTAACCGAATAAAACGTAATTCCTCGTAACTTTTATTCGCATGGAACGCTCGTGAATAGTCCAAATGGGGCGGCGCGATTCGTATGCGCAGTAGGTCATCGTCGTCACCCATATAAACCAAACCTAAATAAGCGCACGCTTCTACTAAAGCTTTCTCATCAGGACTTGAGGCTTGGTAATCTAAAGAGCTGCAAAAGACGCGAGAAAAAAACATGAGTATGACGCATTGGTGTCTTAGTTTTACTTACTGGTAATAACATAATTTAATGCTTTACCTCACTACGGTAGCGATTTCATTTTTCCTTCTTTGCGATTCGGCTCGTAATAATAAAGTTGGTTGCCTTTGAAAGTTTGGAGCGGCATAAGATTCACGTGACCTAGTGCTAGGCGAACGATATACCACAGAACTAGCTTTAAAAACAAAATTTGTCAATAAATCTTTAATGATTACCGTAGGTATTCTTAAACGTACCTTGTGTTTGCATAATATATGCCGTGGGAGTGCCATATGATTGTGTTCGACGATGGCCATGTTGAAGAACTCGTCTTGCAGAACTATTAATATCGGTTATATTACTAGCTGCCGTACTACGTTCGGGTAAATCTATTTCAGAGGTTGAACGTTGAAATTGTAACGATATAGGACGACCTCCACCCTTAAAATTGTGCACAGACGATTGAATATTTAAATTGTTTAAGGCGAGAGACATCGGATGAACTCGGACCGAAGGACGAGTAAAATTTGGACTTCTTTTAATTATGATGGGTCTCTTACGTCTTTCCATTTTGTTCATATCACTTAGCAAAGGATTAACGTCGGAGGTAGTTGATGAAATCGCTTGCACGCCACTTGGGTCTATCGTTAACGAAGTTTCCATGGCGTTAACATCGCTTTGTTGACTAGAATGATAACTTTCTTCGGTTATATCGCCTATCGTATAAACATTTGTACACGACGCAGCCGAATTCGCTTGTTGCAAGCTGATCTGAGACGCATTCGCATTCGAATTGTTATCACTGCCAGCCACTTGAACTGTATGGCAAATTGTTAAGGCCTGGAAAAAGATTTTCTGATCTTTCTACGAAAGAGAGAATAATTTAAAAAAAAAAAATTTAATATAATTTTCCGTTAGTCCCTCCAATCTACACTCACATTAAATTTATTTATATCAATTTGTTCTAGCGATCTCTCCTCTTGTAAGCGGGTCTTTTTGTATTTAAATTTTTTACCAGCTATCGAGCATTGCTGAAAGATCATTTCGTTTTTCGTCAGAGTACCGGTTTTATCCGAAAACAGTATATTAATTTGGCCCAGCTCTTCATTTAAATTCGAAGTGTTTACAATGCACGGTTGATCGTTTGACTCATCGTACAATTGCAAATCCCACTCCATAAACAGGCCACCCAGGACTCGATGCATTTCAATTGTAACATAGAGCGAAATCGGTATCAGATAGTTGAAGAGTATCAAAAATGAAAGATAATCTTGCAAAAATTGCTTGACACTATACACATCTGCTGGCGGACCCAAATAATCCAGGTACGGTACAACAAAAATTTCATTGTATCGTTTCAGGAAATACAATAACGTCACTATGCCTATCAGAATTATTAAGATGAATATTAAAAATCTATTGATAAACATTTCGCAAGAAGAAATTTTATGGCGGGTACGCCTAGAATTCAATTGTAGTTTGGTAGTCATGCCGGTATAAACCGCACACCCGATCACGCATTCGGTATTTTTCACTCTCGAGCCACGCAATAAAAGGTTTTCAGCCGAAAGTGGTAAGACTTTTCCCTCGGGACCGGCAAGTTCAATTTTGCCATTGAAACTATATAAATCCGTTTTGGAATTTTCGCATTCAATTATTCCCAATTTATGCAGTTTATCCAGATCCATGGTGGGTAAGTCCCGGGGTACCATTAAAGTTTTCAAATTTGATTCACCATCAAGATTAGCGGTAGTTATAAAGCATTTGCCATGAGGATCAGAAGAACGCATTAAAACTAAATCGCAAGGTACATCACAATCGCGTTCCACTACAACCAGATCGCCTGGCTGCACATATTGTGATTGAATGGTTCTTTCAATACCTCTCATAATAACCGTAACTGGAACAAGTGATAGAAGATAAGTAATTTTTATTAAAGTTAATCAATTGAGTTATGTCTATCGGACAATTACCGGGTGATCGATTAATTATATTATCGGTTTTATAGCGTAGAAAATCTTCATAACCTTGTTTCGCCGCTGTTACAGCGACTACAAATACCAATGGCAGCAATGATGTCATCGGCGATACCGGAGTATCTGTAATTACAAGAACATATTTAATAAAACCATTTATTAGAAACTAGAAAATTGATCGTATATGCTCGGATCGGATACAATATATATTCATTATATTTAATCGAATTTTAATTAAACAAATAAATAATTCAATGGCAACAAGCTGTTGATCGATAAAGTGCTCGTTAAAACAGTCTCACTAAATGTCACGAACGTCACATTTCATTAATGTGACGATCATAAAATCGCAAAATAACGAAAAAAGAATTCCCATTATTTTTTACAAAAAAAAAAAAAAAAAAAAAAAAAAAACAATCATCGCAAACGAAGCTGTTTATTATTGAAAAATCTTTCACTGAAATTCAAGATACGATCGCTGGACAATAGGAAGTATTTAACGGTACACAAATTAAATTTACACATGTTTGCAATTTAGTTGTTTTTTTTTTTTTCCAGCCTATATTCATTCATGCATGTGTGAAAATTTTACAATTGAAAATCACTCAGTTATAGGCTAAATATTAATAATAACCTTGGCCGTGATAAACGTTTCCATGGATGCTCTATGCAGCGAGCACAGTTTGCTGATTAACCATTCCAGACCACGCCTAAAAATCATTTGCTTTCGAAATCTTTAAAAAATCTTGTTCAACTTATATATAAAATTTTTGGATTGTAGGCGTGTCACTTAAATACGCCTACTTCTAAATGCAATTGCGCGAATGAAAGCTAATACGACTTTTCCATTAAACACTCACTCATTATATTAGTTCTCTTCCTACCAATATCTTCTTCTTCCTGTTTTCATTGACATGCCATCTATCTGTCTACTCTCGCCTAAAATGGAAACATTTTTCGATATTTTCGATTTATCTCTTCAGTCGGCTGAAAGTAATGTACCCGAAGCGTCAATTTAAACGCATATAGTTAACTCAGGTATATAGGGTTATTGCGGAATGATATAAATTGAAGCTACCATATGACTTGAACTATCGAAGAAGCAATGATGTGCGAGAAACTGCAAAATCGTGATACTACAAACAACAGATATCTATATGCTTGAAAAACTTCCGATGCTTCCGATTCTTTTCAAAAAAGAGATCTTTGAGAAGATGAAGCAGCAGACGCCATACACTTAATCAGTAGAGAGAGGGAAGACTCCATATATAGTTTGGGAAGACTTATGCAACGCGCAGGATGCAGGATGTTTTTATGAATCGATTTAAATCGTCTCGGTCCCTCGATCCATATAAAGTCTGTGCGTGTATCTTGGCAAGTTTTAATGAAATTTGACGCACTAAAATGTTTTAGGTGAAAGAGGAAAAACACTACTGCAAAGCTGGACTACTTCCCATATATAGACAGCAAAGTTTTGCAAAAACTGTTAAAAGAAAACAATTTACGCATTTTTAATATTATATTTCCCCGCAAAAATCGCTGAAAATCAATATTTCGACAATCAAAGGCAATCGAAGCCATTAAGGCCTCTTATAACGGATTACAATGTCTACGATAGGCATATGAAAAATTTCTGTGAAACGGAACCTATTTTCAAAAGTATTATCCAAATTTGGATTACTTCGTTTGACGGTTTGACTTTTTCAAAACGTCTCTTTCATAATTTCTATTAAGAGGCCTTAACCTTATATCAATGATAAGCAAACTACGGCAGAGTATATCGCGGTCGGTCTTTTTCGATTGTAACGTTTTAATTTGTTATTTAATAATTTTATCTTCTACTCACCAATTAATAAAGATATTGTGGTCATAGCTAGAAAATAGAAGTTCGCTATACGCCGAAATTGTTCCAATAAATTCTGAGGCAGAAATGTTATAAAAGTATATTTTGTGGATTTTATGCGATTCGCTTCTTGCCGACGTTTCTTCTTTTTGTCTTCGTCATTGCCGCCAATTTTAATTTGCAGCCAATCGTTGACAGTGCTAACACGAGAGCCCTGTAAAAATAAAAAATGAATGAAAGTTTTTCATTCAAGTTTTTCGCAATACGAGAGAGAGAGAGAGAGAGAGAGAGAGAGAGAGAGAGATCTTACGAGCTATGAAAACATTGTAATTACCTTATGCCATTTCCATGATAAGCTGGTCTTAACATAATTGCCGTTTTCAGGCTTATGGCATAATGGTAAGCCACAAGGATTACAATCAACTCGCCTATAGCTCCCTAAATGATCGGGTCGTGCGATAAAATTCATATCGTAGAATAAAAAAATTTTGTTTTACTTCCACAATTTACAAAAAAAAAACAAATTTTCTTATATAGAATTTTGATTTCTTCGAAAAATTCCCGCTTATTTTTTGAACGCGTTAGACGTCGCATTTGTAGTAATTCTTGGCAAATTTACATAAACATAACATAAGCAATTAAACATTAAATATGAACGATACTATTTATTTGTAATCCGAATATATATCCGAATCAATATATATATATATATATATAGCTTTTTTGCCTTTATAAAAGTGGCTTCTGTCCTATTTAACCAAATTTGCCGGTAAACATTATAACTTGTTGTCTTGTTCTTTCTTTTCTTTTTTTTCTTTTTCTCAAACTCATGCATACATAAATATTAATTTATATTTTTATTCATTAGCACAACATACGCTACGCTATGCTGAGAAATTCGGTCCAGTATAATAGCAAACAATGGTTGTTGTTGTTATTCTATGAGCAGGTAAAAACGTCATCATCCATACACACATCGGTTATAATCTTCCATTTATTTACTTCGATTCACATTTGTTTATTGAATTGCACATTTTAAACGATTTTTATGGACTTTTAATTAACACTTTGAATCATACACAGTTGCAAGAAGTCATCATCATCATCATCATCATCATCATCATCATCATTATCATCATCATCATCATCATCATTGTCATCATCATCATCATCATCATCATTGTATGTTATTATTTTGTTATTGTATCCAGAATAGTTATATAAATGAGCAATAAATGAATGAATCTGATTAGGTTAAGTTAAAATGACTGCACGGGTCAAGGTAAGCTCGTGCAATTCAATGATGGACGCCTACTGGGATTTCACGTACAAAAAATGAACATAAGTAATTGGATTAAGTTAAGATGACTATGCCCAAAGTCAAGGTAAGCTCAGATACCATAATATAATAATAAACCAATGTGCCCAAAACTAACAAAGCCTAGCCTGAGAGCAAAACCAACTACGCTGATTAAGATGAGAGGAATAAAATCGTTTTACACCTATCTACGGCATAAGAGAATTTAATATCAATCTTTTTCTAATCGTTAAGGATAAGTTTTAGATGAGAAGAAAGGTCATATCGACTGATCTTTGACAATATGATCACATTTACTAATTTTGAACGGTAATCCTCCCATAAAAAATGATCTCCAAACTCATCTGTAATAAAATGCTTTATTGAATTAGAAAAAACAATGTTGCAAAAGACCGTTGACTTGATTGAAACTCTTTAATGAAACGATGAAATTAATCAAGTCCTTTACAATCGCATCCTATTCATCGTGAAAGAAAGATCACGTAGTCTAGAGTGACTGACTCGATTATTATATCAATCCAATCTCTGCCGTCGATTTTGAAATTTTTTTTGTTAAATCAATCAATAAAGAATGCCCTAATTAATGTTCCAGTACACAAGCCCAAGTTACATAGACTGACGGAGGAATGTCAGAAGTTACTTATTTCAAAGGGACAACTCATCCACCCTATCATTACATATATTTATCGCAGATGTATGTATGTTGATCAACTTTATGCTGTACCATAATTTAGTTTCGTTTTGGCAGATTGACACGTGATATAAAGATGATTGACACTCCGCAGTCAATTCTTAGCCCCGATCGAATCTGTTATTCAATTTAGACGTGAATTTCGATCCCTTTGAAAGATGAATGCCATTTTGAAACACATAGAACAGATGAATATGTGACACGCTTGAATATGAATTTATTTTTGGACAATTCTTTACTTCTTCTATTCACGTTTCATTTATCCTACCTAGAATACAAGGTAAATAAGCAAAAATCTCAGCATTTTTCACTCAATACGAGCGATCGGAACCATTTTGAAGTGAGCTTTGCATGATTTTGGTAAATACAGAGTCAGAGGTCAAATAATTGCCAACGGAATAAGAAAAATCGTGAACCACTATCCTTAGTTATTTATTGTTAACGTACAAATCCATGTATTAGTACGTTTTCATTATATCTTGCACCACTTATGGCCTATATTGCGGTATATTAAGATTGTGCGTATGTATGCAACATCCAGAAGGACTTGATGTACGCCCACCTTTTATTATACCGATCGATTAGGAATCAGTTTCTGAATCGATCTAAATTTATCTGTCCGTCCGTCCGTCTGGCTGTCTTGTTTTCTTGCATTCAACCTGCAGGTCACAATTTTTGAGATATTTCGATCAAATTTATGACACTGAGATGTTTTCGCCCAAGAACAAGACCTATTGAAAATAATTCAAATCGGACTACTTTCTCGATCACTACCCATATAACATTATTATTTTGAAAACTCGTTATGTGAATAACTGCAGACTGGCGGACCATGCCATTTTTGCCAAATGTTTTAAATTTTCAAAATTCGAATGCCACACACTATATATAAGAAATGTTAACTCTGCATCCCATTGCACGTAATTAACGTCTTTTAGTCCTGGTTTTTTGCAATAACTAAGATACATATTAAATGTTTATACATATATATATCTAGTTTGAAATAATTTATTTTTTTCATAAAATATTGTTATTATCCATCCATCCATACTCGGAAAAATCATAAAATTTTTTATATATATTTTTTTGAAATTTTTTAATTAACATTATATTTTACACAATTACACGTTAAATATGAGAAACTGTATTCAATTACGCTTTTATGCCGTTTTCGCGTACATTCGCAATTTGAGTCAAAAGCTTACTAAACCTGATATTGATCTTAACTTAAACATCAATCGGTGATGTTTTGCTTGCTTCTGCCGTTTCTTTTCTTTCTCTCTCCCGCTCACGCTCAGTCTATATTATTACAAAATAATAAGAAATTCTTTTTTTATACACAACTATTAGAAGATTCTGTATTAATTTTATCGTTTCGTTTGCAACGTATAAACGTGTGGACAAAAATTATATGTAAGGAGGAAAAGTTGATTCGTTAGCTTGAAAGCAAAGGGTCGAAAAGCTCTCAAGCAAGCTCAAAGCAATTGTAACTACGTAGCGTGCTAATGTGGAGATACGTGTTTCGCAAATTTTGAGGCAATTTTAGTTGAATGAAATTTAATTAGCCAACGTATTTCATTCGGAAGCGAGCGCCTTAAAGTAATGCGATCGAACAAGTTCCATAAGATAGATTTGTTGTCGATCTAAGCGAAAATCGGAAGCTATTAAGCTAATTCCGCAACCTTTTTTTTTTCATTTTTTTGGAATCTTGGGTCACTTGTTTACAGCTTGGCTTAATTATAAGCACACCTTTAAATTTATGTACAGGTGACCTAATGACTTATTCCCCACGCCTATCTGCACTGCGCTTCCCTCTGTCAATGTCTATTTCGTGCCCATAAATGCGTTTCTATACCCTTTTAGTTGTTCGCCCGTTTATTTGCGCGCCTCGAAACAATTCGCTTACTTAGCTTTTAACTGTTCGCTTGCCTTTCTACTCCTTCTCACTTGTTCCCTTATCCACTTCTCAATCTATTCGCCTAGTCATCTACGAATTTGTCCATCCATATACTTTCCTTGTGTTCTTATGAGCAATACTTTTCGCTTTTTTCATCTGTTTATTGTTGGATTTACAAAATGCTTGCAAACTATTTCTTAAATACATTTAACTTAAAAAAAAAAAATTAACAAATTCTCCAACTTGTGGACGTTTCTATATAGAGGCGCTCAAGATTCGCCTTCAAGTGATTATAGTCTTTTTTTTTTTGTTTTTAATTTTTCTTCTAAAAAGTCTATTAAAAAAGTATTACTTTGTACTGAGATAAATGAGTGCTCCGTCGTATTTGTATTTCATTATTTTTACCGCTTGCTAAAAATGTTTGTGTTATACGCGCTTTCTTATGTGCACAAGATGCAATAATCATTACATACATTTGTAATGAACTCTTCTCATTATACCCTGCATCACTTGTCATATATGGTATGTTAAGTTCGTACGAATGCTTGTAACATCCAGAAGAGCTTGCGATAAAACTACTTTTTATTATACCGATCGATTTCGAGCTATTTTCTAAATGTAAGTCTAAGCCTGTCTGTCCATGTGTCTTTGCGTTCCATCCACAGGTCGCAATTTTTGAGATATTTTGATAAAATTACACTGACGACCTATTGTGGCCAAACGGCGCACTCTATTCATAGGTACACTTTTTCGACCACTCCCCATATACAGCCTTATTTTGAAAAGTCGTTATAAGGGAAAAAATTGCAAAAATCGTTCTTTAATAATATTTCGATATTCTAAATCGGTATAAAAAATTTGCTTCGGCTGAGGCAATTTTTTGAATCCCCTGTTATATAACCGTGCTTATGAAGACTAAATTTTTATATGGTAAAAAGGTCTAATCTTCAACATTTCATGATGAATAGTAAATTGACACAGAAATCAAACTCATAAAATTATGACCACGTAGGTCTATTTTTTTGGACAATATCACATATAAAGATTATCAAAAAATATAAACCTTTTTATTCCAACGCGGCCTCATCTTCTTTATTATGAAAATTTGTTCACGAAAGTAATTTGATACAAAAATCAAGTGAACCAAATTTGAAACATATAGATCACTTTCGTGAACCTCACTCTATACATGACTTCTCATGAATGCTAAAAGCTGTTCAGGAAAAGATTTAATGTGCAATAGTTTGTAGTTAGAATTGATCTTTAGCAGCAAGTTAGCAAAAAGTTAAATGGCAGGAAATTTGGATTGGATAGATCTATTTCCTAGATCCTAACATTTATAGGGGTCATTATGGAAGTAAACGCTTGTAGGGAGAGAGAGTTCATTTTCTAGTTTTTCCAATAAATTAAGTTTACTAAATATGAATTGCGTCATGTACTGTTTTGGACACCTTCCAATAGTACCGCGTTTCATGAAAGGTGGGTCTTTGCATGAAAATAACGTGTAGTTTTTGCCACAATGGTTACCAAAGCGTGTGAATATTTGCACTAGGCGAAGTAATGTAGGGTATCCAAGGGTCAGCCTTGCCTGGCTATTACTTGGCTCACTTGTTTTTAACTCTTATGATGTGAGAAATTTTTTTCGCTTATATCAGCAAAAGCAGTTTCAAATTAATAATTAATCGCTCCAAAAGTTGCGACATTTTTCAAAACAAATTGTTTTCTAAATAAATTTCCATTTACTTGGACTGATATTACTTTAAACCGTAAATAATCGATTTTTCAACCGAATAAGATCGTAATGAAG